AGGATACAACAGGAATTAAATATTTTTGTAATATCCGGAGAAACAAGAGTTGGGTAACTAAAAGTTGGATGTTGGGCAAGTTGAAGTTCTCATTAACTAGATGGTATAGGGCATGAAAGGAGAAATGCAGAGTCAGCGGTACAAATATATTAAACAGATTTAGAACATTACCAATATGATAAGTAGCAAAAACCAAACAAACAAAAAATAGTGTAGAAAACTTCCAGGTAGCTACTGATGCTGAGAAAGTCGTAAGAGGAACAAACTGGAAAGAAGAAACCTGCTGAGTGGAATAAAGGAGACCTTAGGAATTGCAAATACTGACAACCGGGGGAAAAAGAGGTAGAAAAGGTCTCTTATGTGGTGTATGTATTATGCACAAAATATGAGGTTGAATGACTGACAGCAACATAATCATGTGTGTAAAGGGAGATGCTAATATATACTGAATGCTCAAAGCTAAGAACTCATCAAACCTCTAAGACCTTTCTTTAAAAAACAATGTAAATTTTATCATGTCTCTTACACATTTAAAACTATCTAGTGTGCTTCTTAGAATTAAGAACTCCTTGTTGGGACCTCCAGAGCCCTCAAAAACTATTTCATCTTTGTCTGTGGCAACCTTTCTTCAATTCAGCTGCATGACTCCATTTCCTGTAAGAACCCAACAAGCCTCCTGTTCATCTCATAGAATTTGCTACTGTCTACTTTCTCTTTTTCCATATGTTCTTTCCAATTATTTTTAAAATTTACTACCTAAAGTGTCCATATATTTATGGAATTTTGAACAAAGTATGTTTCAGTGAAGTTTGTGTGTGTATGTGTGTGCCCCATGTATCTTTTAAGCACCCCAACATTGCTCACCACCATTTGGTACCCTCCTCTTGGTATCCTTGCTAGTGTTTTAGCCTTTTCTCACATTTACATCATTTTATATGTACACATGATAGGTAAAGATTCTCATATGTGTAAAAGCCTGTGGTTTTTATCATCCTGATTTTTAGTCATCTCAGTTAATATCCTACTTCGTAGATCTACTCATTTTATCTTTTTCTCTCATCTTGGTGCTGTGGTTCAGACTTGGGGTACCATGTTGAATTAAAAGATATGAAAATGGGCATCCTTGTCTTGTTCCTGATTTTTACAGGAAATGTTCTCAGTTTATCTCTAGTAGAATCTTGGATATCATGCTGCATATACACTTTAGTATTCTGAGATATGTTCTATTTCTAATTTCTCTAAGACTTTTAAGGAATATTGAAGTTCGTCAAACGCCACTTTTATACTTGACAAAATGAACATATGCCTTCTGTCCTTTGTTTATATCATGTATCACGTATTTAATTTTTTGGCTCATGAATGTTGAGGCAACTTTGTATCTCTGTGATGAGCATCCACTTGGCCATGATGTATATGATCTTTTAATATGTTTCTGAATTCAGTTTGCAAGTATTTTGCTGAGAATTGTCACATCTGCTTTTTTTCAGGGAAGTTAGTCTGTGTCCCTCTCTCTCTTTTTTCTCTCTCTATGTGAGTGTATGTATTATTTTCTCTCTGTCTCTATCTGTATCTATCTGTTAGCTGTCTGCCTCCCTGCCAGTCTGCCTGTGTGTGTGTGTGTGTGCATGTGGGTATGCCTATGTGTATGTGTATGCATGTGGGCTTGGGTGCATTTGAGTGTGTCTGTTTGTCTGGTTTTGGTATCAGGTAATACTGGCCTCAGCATGTATATAGTAGTATTCTTCCCCATTCAGTTTTAGGAAACAAATGGAAAAATATTGGCATTAGCTCTGTAACAATATACAAAAACATTTTAGCAGAAATAGAAACATATGTACATTATAAGAAAAATAACCTTAAATTTGTATCAAAGTACAAGAATCAGTACCAATGTAAATTATTTAAAACAAAGAGTTGCTTTTTTATTTTGAAAGTAGATGTAAGAACATACCTTTTTATCCTAGCATATCTATCCCCCGTTTTCTTTTCCAAATGAGATCTCTGAATCTAATCTCTTTATTTTACCCCATACCCTATAACAACTTGTAACCACCCTGCTTATAAGATTACAAATACCCATAACCCCAAGAAAGGCCAAAAAACACTCATTTCACCTCCTGGGAAAGTGGGTGTTGTGTTCTTATATTACTTCCTGCTGTTGAGGGCGAGACAGCATCTCCAGAGTGCACTAAATAAAAAGAAAGAAAAAAAAACAAGTAAAACAATGGCTAAGCCTTCAAGTAATGGGAAAGTATAGAGGTTATATGAAGCCCTAGCTGTAGTGGTGCATGAGGGTGGACCATCTCAACTAGCCACTTTGGAATTTTCCTGAGCCTTTTGTAGTCCAAAGCTGACCTTTGGCTGGTGATTATTGGTTTGGTGGTGTTATTATGAACCAGCTAGAACCATCATTATGGAGCCCCCATCATCTTTTTGGAGATCCTGTGGAAGGAAAGGATCTGAAAATGACCCTTGGTAAAAGACTCTGACAATGAAGAAACAATATAGGTGGTTTTTGTTGGTGGTGGTGCTTTGTTTTTGTTTTCAATCCTTCTGATGCTTGGTTAAAGGGACACTTGCCTATTAGACTGTCTAGGAAATAAGATACTTCAGGGGTAAAAATGAGGAGAGTATTCAAAATTCTTTATATCGTTATGAAAGATTTTCTATACTGACATGATGGATGGGTAACTTTTGTCACTGATGGGTCATGATGACATTAGCACAGCAAGGACAAAGTCACTTGTGCCTTTCCTTTAGGTTGCACATCTGGGGTATATTTAAAGCTTGAAGTTCCTGCACTACAATGAACCTGTTTAGTCATCTCACAGGGATGGGCTAACCAAAACAAAATGCTTTGAGTTGGAGGGATGGAGAGGAGAGGAAGTGGGAAGCCAAAAAAAGAGAGAAGAGAAAATTGTCATTCAGTGATGTTTTCATTTTAAAAAATGGTTATTTTTTACTTAGAATACAGGTAATTTCATGTCTCCTCCTTCCACGGATAAAGAAATTCATTCCCTGTAAAACTCTGATTTTGAGTTACTAATGATTTATTGCTTCATGACATGTTCATTCATATAGTAAGTGAGCATTTACCAAGTACCCATGAAGGACAAGCTTCTACCCGCCTAGAACAGCATTCATAATTAAGTTAAAATAAGGTTAGTACAAAATCAAAATAAAGAGACATATATTATTTGTAGCAAGTCAAGGAATAATATTTTGGAGCGACTTTACATGGTTAGGAGAACAAAGTCTTTCTCACTTGAGGCACATGAAATAGTAACTGAGTCAAGTGGTATCTTGGGGGCTAGGAGTAAAGTCAATCAACTGCTAATCATATCCTTTGAACACACACGCACACACACACACAAACACACACATTTTGTGACACAACTGGCTCTTTATAAAAGTGTTTTCTATTGCTAACTCAGAGAGGAAGGCAAGACAGTACATCCACCTCTTTTAATCATTGAAGACGTTTTTTAACCATTATAGTTTCCAAAAAAAGAATCACTAAGTTTTCTATAAAATTCTTTCAGGACTGGGAAAATGGTTCAGGTGAAAAAGCAAACAAACAAAACAAAATGCTTGCTCTATGCAAACATGAGACTTGGAGTTCAGATCCCTGATAGCTGGTCAATGTTAGGTAGAGTGGCTTGCCAATAATGTCAGTGTGAATGCCAGGCAGACATAGTTGCTCACCTAGACAAAAGGGTTCACTAGGACTCAACACATGAGAAATGGATATTCTTCTAAGTTCTCTTTTATATTGTAGAGACATGATTATTCCCTCTAGATCATCGCTGCCCACAGTAACTATTTAGCTAATCTCTTCAATTTATTAACTGGCACCACTTTATGCCTCTCCATGATCAGGTACCAATTTCAGGGAAAATAATTCCTCTTGTTCAAGGACAGTTCTTACAGAACAAGAACCAACACGGTAAACTTTCAGAATTATGTTTCTGTACAGTTTCTCTATGCATTAGATCACTGACAATTCATGTTAGTGTTTTCTAGTCCCTACTCTATAATTGCTCAGATTTTATCTTTAAACAGCAGAACCCAACACTGGGATGGGAACAATGTTATCATAATGTCGTGTTTCAACAGAGCTTCCCAAGTTATCAGTGACTACGTGCCACCTTCAGACATTCTCTGTGATCAGAAGCATGTGATATTTGTCATATTTGCAAACCACTGACACTATTATTATTCTATTTTACACATCACTATTATGATTTTGTTTTTCCTTGATTGTATTTGACCTTATCCTAGTAATATCTTTGCTAAAAATCATAGGATTGAATTGTTATAGCCCTATGTAATAGTCATCATACCAAACCAGAGTTCCGAGTTCCCATTTTGAACGTTTATTCATCATATTGGTGGTTTTATTTTGCTAATTATTCTTCATCCTAATTTTCTTCTTTGTTACTTGGATGAGTCCATTCTAGTTTCATGTTCCTTGTATCCAGTACAAATTACATGTCCTGTACATAGCAGCTTCAGTATAAACGTGTGAAAAAGACAAACAAGCAAACAAAAACAACTCTAGTAGACCAAGTCCCATTTCTGTCCCTCAAAATACCCATCTTTGAAACTCTCATAATCTATTAACTGCTGTCATTTATGATGTGGGAAGAGTGCCTGATCAAGCTGCCATCATGTTCAGAGGTTCATTTTTAACAGAAGCCTACCAACCACATTTGTGATATTAAATCTCATACCAAATAAAAAAAAGAAAATTCAGAATATCTCTCATCTTTGACCAAAAATTACATATAGTAGTAACAACCTCTGCATAATGTTGACTATTTAAACTTAAAAAGTGAGTTTGATTTTTATAGTATTTTTTTCTAAGATTGCATAAATATATTCAAATGTTACCTGGTTATAAGCAAATTATGAACTCCAGAGAGAAATTATTTGAATGTCAAAAATAGTTGTCTTAGAGTCCTCCTTGGTTTTTTATATGCATTCTTTCCTCTCAAAAGGCCGGGTATCCTGGGTAGAAGAAAATGTTCCTGGAAACCATGGATGGTTGCTCTTACTACCACAGCAGTTTTGTTGGTTTTGGCAATAATCATTGGTCTCCTTGTTTACTTTTTGGTGTATGGTAAGGCTACATTTTATTATCTTGCTTCAGAAATGTTAAGACTGACTACATATATTTCTAAAGCTTAGCATTTTCACCAATTACAGAATGAAGTCTTCATTTTAATAAATTTAAGCAATAGTAATCCTTAACATAAAAATCATTTCTAATATTCAAACCCTGTTGCTGTTCATGCAATGGCATCTTTTGAATAGCACAGGAAGTACACATATATGCTACTTATTGTGTGATGGTATATATGCATTTATAGTACTAGAAGTTTTTGCTTTGCTGTCAACTTATTGTATTAAGTCATTAATTAATTGTTTAAAATTTTGAATTGTCACCTACTATGAAATACCACCTATAATAGGGACTAATTGTGTCAGGAAATAACATACAACCAGAGTGGCTATGAAGATATATTATCTTAAAGTGGTTAGGGGGAGACACTGGCTACATCGATTGGATATTTAATTTTCTGAAGTGTACTAATTATATGTCAGTCTGTTCAATGTTGCTGCAATAAAATTCTTTATAAAACTGGATATTTCATTAATAAAAGAAGCCTCACATGACTGACAGTGATGTGGACTGGTTTGGATGACTGCAACAAACTCCATCCAAACATGGAAGATAGTATTATAGGAGGAGTGCATGTCAGAACTGAGTAGTGCCCAAGAAAGAGATCACACGAAACACAGGACACAAGAGACAAGGAAGAGCATGAATTTCCTAAGGATTAATTGCCTGTGAGGACTAATCCACTCTGTAAAACAAACATTAATCTCTGGGCAATCACAGCAATCATCTCCTCCCTCATATTCTCACCTGTTGGAGGATCTGTGACATTCAGTACTATTATCTGGAGGACCAAGCTTCCAGCACAAAAATTGTCAGAGAAAAACTATGCATCCTCTCCCTCTTCTGCTCAAAGGGATCAGCAGAAATTATCCATTTCTATTCTGCCTTTCAGATCAGAAGAGTCATTACTACCAGGGCTCCTTCTGGATTCCCAGCATTACATATAGCCCAGATTTATCTGTAGAACAGTCAAGACATCAGAGAAACCTGAAACAAAAACTCATCAATGAGGTAAATCTATGCTTTGCCACTAGCACCATTGATACCCTGGAAATATATAAGGTGGAGGGCAATAAGAGATGTTACCTGATGTTAACTTATGGCCTCATACAAATTAATGTATACATATACAAGCATCTATATACATACGTGATCTTCTAACCATGGGTATACTCATACACACCACACAGGCAAGCAAAAAACAGTGTAGAGAACATTGTCAGTTTGTAAATGGTACAATGTGAGTGAGATTCTGTCTCTGATATGGAGTTTATTGACTAACTCACAGCGCTAGGTGCATTTTCCTAAAAGTGAATATGAAAACCAGTAACTAAATCAAATTTTGTATATTTACTGCATAATATATGAATGGTAATAGTTTGTATGTGTACATAGATGCACATATACACAAAGCATACCAGGTTCTTTAGATAATAACTTTAAGTGATTTCAATGCTCTTTATAGTAGATTCTCTAAATAATTTTGTAAGTATATATATATGTATATTAGTTTTATCCTATATATTACACATGTATAAATAAAACTGTTCCCATAAAATTCTTCTAAATAAGCAAAAAAGAAAAAAATGTGGTCATTGTTTTACTAACAGCTATTGATCTCCTGACATACATCTCTCCAGTCTATTTAATATAACATCACACAACATTTCATTGAAAAGGACATCATAAATTAAATGCGATGAGTAAATACATCTTATACAGCTCATTTCACTATTTGGCAGCACTACTGAGATTTGTGCAACTATCTGCTCATACTCAGTTTGGTCAAGGTTACCTTGACCAAGCCAGCTTGATGAGTCAGAAAAATAAATGGGCTTGCAAGAACTGTCATCCTGTTGTCATTGCTCCTGTTTTGTTAATAAATAAGCTGATCTAAGTTCTCTTACCACCAATAAAGTATTCCATATAATAAAGCCAAATGACACACTGCAACTTTCATAGACATATTTTGTTCTACAAAAATATTTTATACATAAGTCATTAAGTTTGGAGAAGTGCCTAACTGTGTATGCATCACCCTTCCAAGCGTATTCTCTGAAGGATCAAAACTTCATCTAAAATTGTTTTACCAAAACTTAGAAATTAACCTGTCCATCAAACTTAGAGACTAATGTAAATGAGTTTCAAGATAGTGGATGTCAAATGAATGATCAGTCCATGCATGGCAACCCTACACAGTCTTTAAGCTCCAACTCCTGCTTTTGAAATGTCTACCTTAATTTACCTCTGTGCTGATTACCTTCAAACACATGGAAAGTTTTTCAAATTATAGGAATGATTATATGACAACAGGATTATGCTCAAATGAACTTTATTGTCATATAATCATTCCTATAATTTGAAACCCACAATGATACAAAATGTCATTTACCTTAATGCTTTGTATCATTGTGGGTTTTAAATAACCATTTTGAAAGGTACACAACTAATACTTAACAAAGATCTCTTATTTTCTTTTTCAGATAGATGTGATATTTCAAAGATCGAGTTTAAAGTATCATTATGTCAAATCTCATGTTGTCAACTTCAGGTAACCACTGTTAATTCATTGACATGATGAAAAGACAAGTTATACTGTTTAATTATTATTAACTTATTTCATCTGCAGACAGGAGGTAAAGACTTTACATATAACAAAGAAAAGATAGCACAGTCTTCTCACATTGCAATTGCTCCTATATAGAGTACAGCCAGCGAGAGGATATCTTGAGCAATCATGAAATATGCTCTACTCTTCATCCCTTTAAAGACAAAGGCATTTCGATTGAAGATTCCTTCAATCCTAGTTATCTCTGTTTTTCATTTGTTTTACATTAAATATCTGCTAGTATGTAAAACACAGGAGTGTATATTATATATATATATACACATATATGTATTTATATATAAGTACAAAGTGTATTTATATGTGATATAAATAGAAAGTTGGGTTAATAAATTTCCATTCTCCACTATGATTATTATCAAGTTTTATGAGCAGAGGGTAATCCAAGGCTTAATATCTGTGTGATATATGAAAGGGATAATCATGACAATAAGCTGCATGAAGTATTTGTTTCATTTTCTTAAAGGTATAAGCAATATTGAAGTACTAATACTGTCATATTAAGAATAATTATTAGGCCAGTGTCTCACTTTGGTACCTTTCTTTTTCAGGCCAAGTCATGATGGTTTGAAAGCAGACATACTGATTAAATTTCAGTTTCCCCATTACAATGTGGGCACTCTGAAAAAACAAGCTGATAGCATTTTATATAAGAAGTTGCAATCCACCCAGAGCTCCTTGAAGAGAGACGTTTCATTACCTCATCTTAGAGGCAAGAAAGACTACTTTTTTAAACAATAGTTAACACTTTTAACTATCTTCTGTCTACAGAGAAAGCTCCTTTACTTCACTATAAAACAAAACCATTTGTACTCTAGTTCTCTGAGTCCCTAATGAACAACTTCTCACTCATTTGGCACCAAAGATTATCTTCCCTTGGTTGGTATGAAAATAGTTATAAGAACTGTATAATTACCCAAGTACAAAAATATTTATCTCTTATTAAAGCAAACCTACATGGCACGTTTTTAATTAAGCAACAATGTGTGTGGTATTTAAAAACAACCTGCCCTCCACTATTGATACACTATTTTCTAAATCTCTTTTTTTTGGCAGTGTTTTCCCTATCTGGATCTGGAATATGATGCTGTTATGAACTCACATAAAATAACATATGTGGCACAAACACAGTTGAGCTCAAGTGCAGCTCACTTTAGATTAACATATTCTTTCTGCAGCACACAGGATAGACTTAGCCTGAGATATAGAGTGAGCTGAAGAAATGCCAGCCCTAGCTAGGATGTATCTCAACCAAAAATAAAATAAAACTATCTCACTTTCAACACATACATAAAGAGGGAGCTTATAAATATTTGGTATATGAGATTTTTAAAAGACCTTTATAATTCTCAGCTATTAACCTTTATATCAATTTAGAAATTATCAAATCATATCAGAATTGTTTAAGATACAAAATGAGATTGGAAAGCTAATAGCAAATTACAAATTACCAGTAAGTATATCTTCTCTCATCACTTTTCCCCCCAAATTGTTTGTGACAGAGTGGTTATGACATATCAAAAAGGAAGTTGTAATATAGGGTTTGTTAAAGGCATAAAGAAGAAATAAATAGCTTCAAAGAAAAATGAGATCCTACTAGCAAACAGAGTGAGCTTGAATCCAAGAACAGAACTTTACATGGCAGAATTAAGACTCCCTGAAAGAGAGTTTCAGTTTGATGGCTCACAGTATACATGAGATGTAATTTTAATTTTAGAAATTTGTGTGTATGTTCATGTGTGTTCAGGTGTTTGTATGTGTGCTTGAGGGATTATGTTGGGGTGGGGGAGAAGGGTACATATATTTATGCTTTTATACTGGCTGTAGAGTTCAGACATAAATATTATACCTCTTCATTCAATTTCACTTTACCTTGTTTTTTGAGAGGGGTTCTCTCACTGAATCTGGAGCTCACTGACAGGTAAACCAGTTGGCCAGCAAGTTCTGTTTCTGCTTCCCCAACTCTATGGTTGGGTTAAAAGAGCATTCCATCCCGCCTGAAATTTCACATAGGTGCTAAGAATCCAAATTCCAGTTCTCATGCTTGTATAGCAAATACTTTACCAACTGAGCTATGTCTTAGATTGCTACTTTTAGAAATTTAGAAGTGTATTTTGAACTTCTATTAAGAAAAATATTAGACCCAGCACTCAGGAGGCAGAGGCAGGCGGATCTCTGTGAGTTCGAGGCCGGGCTGGACGGACAGCCTACAAAACGATACAGACAAAACCTGTCTCGCAAAACCAAAAAAAAAAAAAAAAAAAAAGAAAAAGAAAAAAAGAAAAAGAAAAATATTAGAAACTCAACTTCCTCATTTCTATAAGAATCTTTTTTTCTAAATCCTTAATTCATATATTTATTTTTTATTTTATGTATTTTTTAATTTACTTATTTTTCAGTTTAAATTTAAATTAGAAACAAGGTTGCTTCACAAGTCAGTTCCAGGTCCCTCTCCCTTTCCCTCCCCTCCTCCCATGCCCTCCTCCCAGCCCCCCCCAATTATCCCCTCATTTCCCCAGGGAGGGTGAGGCCCTCCATGGGGGTGTCCATAGTCTGTCATTTCATCCAGGGCAGGGCCTAGACCCTCCCCCAAGAGTTCAGGATGAGAGTGCATCTCACATTGTTGGATGGGAGTCCAAAGTCTGTGTGTATACTTGGGATGAGTACTGATCTACTGCCCAAGGCTCAATAGATTACCTAGGCCTCCTCACTGACACCCACATTCAGGGGGTCTTGATCAGTCCCATGCTGGATTCCCAGGCTGATACCTGGGACTCAAGAGTTAACCTTTGTCAGGTCAGCTGTTTCTGGGGGTTAAACCAGCCCAGTCTTAATCCCTTTGGTCATCAGTCCTCCCTCTCTGTTACTCTGGCTTTCTTGAGTTCAGCTCAGTACTTAGCCGTGGGAGTCTGCCTCTTCTTCCATCAGCCACTGAATGAAGTTTCTGTTTCCCAGACTCTCTGGCCATGGGATTGTAGGCTGGCACTCCCCAGATCTATGTCTAAAATCCATATATGAGAGAGTACATACCATGTTTCTCTTTTTGTGACTGCGTTACTTCTATAAGAATCTTACTCACATCCTATATTAATCCCACTCACATCCACCTCCATATATTTTATGGAGTATTGATGTCCTTCACAAGACTGTGCCTAGATATTCATATATTTATCCACATAGACATCTGCTAATTTCTTACCTAACATAACTTAAACTGTCTGACCAAGCAAGTCATTTATTTCATAGACATTTCTCATTCTTTTCAAAGAAGTAGTAATAATCCTTCTTTGTGTTCCACAAATTTGTTTGTGAAATACTTTGATTTTTGTCTTTCTTGTTTCATTTTCTTTTACAACAAACTAGGCTTCCTGGGGTACAGGAAATGTTTGCTCTACTCAGTAATGCACACAAACACTGAGCTCAACACTTGGAGGGAATCGGGGTCTCTGTCAAATGTTTGACCTTTAACCCTGTAAACTAATTCAGTTCCTTGATAGTGGGCAAGATACAAAAGGTGTCTTTTAAAAGTCAATTTCAAACTCATTCTTTTCCCTTTAATGTGTATTTTCTTTATGATTTCATTATGATGACTTTCAAAACTATATTATTTGGAGTTTTTTCATTATTTAACCATGTATTTCTTTAACAAACATGCAGAGTTTTTAACCATTAACCATTGCTTTTTAAACTCTCCTTTTAGACCCATACTTATTTTCCTCAATTCTAGAAAACCACATGTATCTGTGTTCTGTAAAATACCCCATAGACTCCATAAGCTGCTCATTCAGGCTGTTTTACTCTGGTCTTCAAACTCAATAATTCTGCTATTGTCCTCAAGTTCAGTGACATTGTTTCATCATCCATCTGCACTAGGAATTCATCAAGCCATTTGGTTTGTTCTAACTGCTATTATTGTTCTTATACCTTCACTATTTTTGCTTATTCCTGTCATTTTTCAATGATTTTTAAAATATTTCTACTGCTTTGTTGATATTTCCTATTTTTCACTTATTGTAAGAGAATTTACTCTTGATTGTAGCAGCCAGCTCTTCAAAATCTAGATCAATTATTTCTAGCATTATAGACATCTCAAAATTAGCATTGGTTGATTGTGTTCTGATTAAAATTACAGAATTCCTATTTTCTTTTGTTCCATTTCCTATGAGAGTTTGTATATTCTCAACACTCTGTGCTGGGAGAATCTTGACCCCAAATAAACATTTTTTTTCCATTTAACACAAACTAAGCCTGCCTACCCTGGTTTTCCAGATTCTTATCTACTTTTGTTATTTCAACGGCAGTTCCTGTAGATTTTGCAACACTCTTCTGTTTTACTGCCTGCTATTCATAGCCTTAGAATGTGCTTCTCTGGAATGTCCTGTATAGTCACATCTCTGTCTGTGGATCTGGATCTTCTTATGCCAGTGAGTAGAGACAGATGCCTACAATGTCTCCATTGATGTTTCAGTTTGCCAATCAGTGCTTTGGTTACAACATGGGTATGGGGATAGATAAGGGGTTTTTGCTGTCACTGCTTCTAGAGAATTAGACTTCCAGGCTTGAGTTTTATAGTAGAGGTCTGGGTAGATCTCTGTTTTCTTTCCCCTTTGTTAGTACATTGTATAGAAAGAATGGACATTTCCTGGGATTGTTTTCTCTGAACTTATTGATGGTCATGTATTGGCAAACATTTCTGGCTCCTAGTCCAGGTCATAAGTAAAATGAAAAGAAAGATCATAAAGCCCAGCATTTATCTTTCCTCAAATTCTGAAGTCTTTCACCATTTGTCTTCCTTATAACATCCAGAGTTCTTTTACTGTTACAAATGATTTTGATATCAAGTCACTTATATAAAATGTCACAGTATTTTTTTAAGATTTATTTATTTATTACGATCTCAACACCCTGCCCCCATGTACGTCTACACACCAGCAGAGGGCACCAGATCTCATTACAGATGGTTGTGAGCCACCATGTGGTTGCTGGGAATTGAACTCATGACCTCTGGAACAGCAGTCAGTGCTCTTAACCTCTGAGCCATCTCTCCAGCCCAAAATGTCACAGTATTAACATACAATGTATGCAGGTCTCCTCATGTGGTGTGTGTGTGTGTGTGTGTGTGTGTGTGTGTGTGTGTGTGTGAGCTCAAACTGAAGACCTTGGGAATGCTAGGTGAAATGCTTACCAACTCCCCTATCCCCCCATGTGCATTAATAAATTTGTAATACCTAATACAGCATAAATTACATTGTTAGTACTTGATATACTGTATTGTTTATGGAATATGGTGGGAAAAATGTATCAGACTCAGCATTTTTCAAATATTTCTGACTGGGAGTTAGCTGAATCCACTGAGGCAGTATCCACAAATAACAGTGTGGGATGCAGCTCATTACATTAATAGATGAAATGTGGAAAGTGCTCAATCTTGGTCCAGACCTAGTTTTGCAACATTTTTATCAGGCAAGAAGAGCACATTTCTGGATCATACTTCTGCATGAGATACGACTCCATCATAGAAGTAAATCATTTATTTCCTGAATAGAGATCAGTTTAAGATTCATAGTTATAAATAAACTATGAATTAACCATAGCCCACTCCCCGTGTTTTATGGCCTAATAGAGGGTAGGACTAAAGTACAGTCGCCTTTCAGGCGTAGGTCTAACTGACCTTGAGATTGGTTTTTCAGAAAGTATTAAATCAAGCTTCTGTAGACTTGTATCATAGTATCACTACAAAGACATAATAAGCACACAGTACATATCTTACAGAACTCAACAGAGTATTGGTCATAATTGTCATAATCTAGTTACTCAGCAGCTACATATTGAACTGAATATGTACACGTAGAATCAATATTCTAACTAAATGGAGAAAGATAGTGAATAAACTGGGCAGCAACAAATGATGTGGAATTCCATGGGAGAGCAGAGATAGCATGGGACTTCAACTTTCTGAGTCATAGAAAGCCCCATGAAAGAAAGAGGAAATCTTTTAAGTTGAGGTCGGAAAGACAGAAAACTCTGCAGGCAAAGCATTCTGACAAAGTAGGCATCTAGCTGGTCGAAAATTGCCAGAAGAAGCAACAACCAAACAGTCAAGACCTCAGAGGCCAAGGTTTAAGTAAGGAGGAGGAGCACTCAGTGTGACACTGAGGACGTATTGGGGTACTGGGCACCTAGGGCCAGAGAGGAAGTCTACATCGGTTATAAAGTTCAGGGAAGACAAAAGAGGGTTTCTATTATTGACAGAACCTAATCCTATGGATGTTATATAATTAATTTCCTAACAGTGATTTCAACTCAGTGTTTCTTGAGCCTGACCTAAAGGCCGACACTGAAATGCTAGCCCAGTCTTAATCCGAATATACTTGACTCTGAATCTCACTACACAATCTGGCATAAAGAGCAATACAAGTGATTTGGGAAGACATCCACAGATTATGTTATTCTCTATTTTGATTCATGAATAAAATGATAACATGTTGATGAAGGTGGAATTTGATACAATAGGAAAATAAAATCTCTGGGTCAATCTTAGGTTTGGAAAATGGATTGAATAGCTGTCCTATATAGCATATACAAGTGAGGCCAAAAAGACTTCTACACATGCTGTAGAGCAGACATAAAAATGACCCTATACACCTTTTATTGAACTTCTACCTCAACAAATTGGTATGACATTAATCCTTCAAACCAATAATGTCTGTCTATGTCAATGACTTTGTAGTCATACCAGACTCTTCGTGGAATCCATGTGCAGTCAGAATCTTAATTGATATTCCAGCACACCTTCTCATAGTTCATCCTATTGCTTTTACCTTGATTTTCTTCATTAGCACAGTTTTCCCCAATCTGAGGATTTCTTGACAAGTAGGAATTGTATTTTAAGTTACTGCAGTTATGTCACTGAGCAATGACCTTGATTTAATTTTTTCCAGAAATTAATGCTGCACAAGCAGAGAATATTCTAAACAGTGGTGAGTTCAAGAATATCCCTGATACTTTATTAAATCAAAGGATCAAACTCACAACACTTTGGCCTTTATCTCCATGTATCCTATTTCTCAAATACCTACAGTATTTCTAGATCATTATGTATCTTGAGAAAACTACTAACAGAACAGATTTTATTGGATTTTATTACAATGTTTTCTCTTTCAGTAATAAGATTCACTGCTGACCTCTTTAACAATTTCCTTGAATTTTTCCAATTTATTTTTGTGTGGCTTTGTTAAAATATAAAATGTTTAAGAGATTTAAATGAAGCCCACTAACTATAATATATAAAATTATATTTATTTAATGCTTTTTAAAAATATTACCAACAACTGGGAGGCCAGCATGGGACTGATCCAGACCCCCTGAGTGTGAGAGTCAGCGAGGAGACCTGGGCAACCTATGGGGCCCTGGGCAGTGGATCAGTGTTTATCTCTGGCATAAAAACCGACTTCATGTGTCCATAGCACAAAGAGGGATGCTCTCTCAGCCTGGACTCTTAGAGGAGTGCCTGGACCCTGCCCTGAGTGAAATGTCAGACTCTGGATATCCCCTATGTGGAAGGAAGTGGAGATAGGGTGGGAGGCTTGGGGAGATGATGGGGGTGTGTGAGAGGAGGGGATGGCAAGGGAACTGGGATTAAAATTAAAATAAGAAAATAAGAAAAAATATTATGGATGAAAATTATCTGCAATGAATGTCAAATATCACTGGAGTAACCTGTTACACACAACAGGACTCAGAAAATATGAAAAACTAATGTCAAAGGAAAATTGCTTCAAATACACTAAAGAAGATAATAGCTAACTTTATTAATGATTTAATTACTAAATATGTAGAGTCAATCAACTTGGATATCCATCATCCTCATAACATTTACTGTTGATTTCAATGAATATTTTAAAGACAAGAAATAACTTTAAATGTTTTCATGCTTAACTATTTGCTGAAGACATCCAGACGCATTTATAACTGCAAACAACCATGTTATTTCCTTCTGGCTGGCAGACTGTGGCTTGGGGATGGAGTATCCACCAACAGCAAGAATTGCTAATGGCAAACCTGCAGACAAAGCTTCCTGGCCATGGCAAAGCAGCCTTCAGGTGGACGGAATCCACTTCTGTGGTGCATCTCTGATTGGCTCCCAGTGGCTCCTGACCTCTGCTCATTGCTTTGATACGTGAGTCCTCAGGTTGCACCCTGGAGGTCCCCAGCACCACCACTTCTCACATTCATATCCCATCATTCTTACCTCCTCTTGATCCTTTCCGTGAATATCAATAAGGCAAAGAATAAATTACTTTTAATTCCTACAGAATATATATTTTTGTAGTAATCCCAGTTTTGGAAACCAGTCAACAGTGAAAAATCAAGTATGCTCACCAGTTTTCCTCAATTATAATGCAGTTTTCTTTTAATGTCATTAATTATATCCTTACCTGTAATCCACAACTGATATTCTACATGAATGTCATTGGATATGTGTTTTTATTCTCTGTATGACTGTTAAATATTTGACATTTTGGCACTGTTGGAGGAAAAAAAGGAGTTATGATAACCTTAGTGTAATTCAAATAAAATGGAGAAATATTCTGGTAAAATGCCCAATGGAAGAGATTCATTAGAAAAATATACAAAATATGATTATAGATTTATCTTTCTGTGTCTCTGTGTATTTTGTCTTTTTTTGTCTATATCTTCTCTGTTCACCCATGAATAAAAATATATAACTGTCCATGGTTATGTATATCAATGAGTATTTACAGAATTATATCTAATATTTTTATTTTCTTAAAATGATATATTTTTATAATAAAATGCATATACATCTTAAAAGATAGTAACTAAACCTATTTTGTAATGAAATGTTTCTTATCAGCTAGAAAGCAAATCATCAGGTTGGGAAAACTTAAAACAAAATATTGGAAAAGTCCAAATCAATTATGACCTTAAAGAATTTGCCCTTTGTCCACGTTCATGTCCCATTGCCCATCCAGAATCCTGGGCAACTCAGACAAGAAATGAACACACTGTGATCCTTTAATTTGCTTTCAGTTACAAAAACCCCAAATTGTGGACAGTCAGTTTTGGAACAACCCTCAGCCATCCACTGATAACAAGAAAGATTGCGTCCATCATCATTCATGAGAACTACGCATCCCATAAACATGATGATGATATTGCTGTGGTCAAGCTCTCCAGGCCCGTCCTGTTTTCTGAAAACCTGCGAAGAGTCTGTCTCCCCGATACTACCTTTCAAGTCTCGCCAAAGAGTAAAGTGTTTGTCACTGGATGGGGTGCCTTGAAAGCGAATGGTGAGTATTTCAGGAAAAACAAGGATGCCAACAATGCAAACCTAAGGAGTTTCCATGTGAAAATGTCCAACCACACACAAAAGTACTAAGTATAAATCAAGATAACCCCATGAAAATCCCATAAAATATGAAAACTTCAGCTATGAACAGTATTCATATAATTATATTTAATATAGTGGTTAATGTAGTAATGTAGATAATCTAATACTATTTTCCTACTATCAGAACTTTCTTTTCAAAACTTAGCATAGCATATTCACATACCCCTTTTTCAGCCTCCATCTTTCATATTTAGGGAGTCAGTTAGTCATGATGAGCTTCTGGGGAGCCAAACTGATAAAATGAAAGGACCTCCGCCAAGGAATCCAAATAGCTGTGCCTGACATTGAATACTAAATGGGAATCTGTGCACTGTGTATCTCTGAAGCTGTTGACAATATCGAGTTGAGATATATGATATTTTGCTTCACTAAATAATGCCCAATAAACAGCAAACAGACTTTTAGATGTGCACATGAGTGTTGGATTTCTCTTCCTCCTCCTCTTTCTTTTCCTCCTTCTTTTTATTAAAAATGGATTCTTCTCTCATACAATAAATCCTGACCACAGTTTTCCCTCCCTCCACTCCTCTTAGCTCTCTCCCCAATTTCCTTTCCCCCAGACCCACTACTCTGTTTTTCTTCAGAAAACAGCAGGTCTCTGAGAGACAACAACCAAACAAGATACAATAAGACAAGGCAAGAGTCTTCATTTGCGGCTGGACAAGGCAACCCACTAACAGGAAGAGTCTCAAGAACAAGCAAAAGAATGAGTCCTAAGAGCAAGCAAAAAAATCAGAGACACACCTGCTCCCATTGTTACGATTCCCGCAAAACACCAAGCTAACAGCCATAGCATATATGCAAAGACCTCTAAGTCCCTTAGTTCTTAAATATGACAATTATTTTATAAAAAGAAATAGAATTTCATATGAATGGCATTTTAGTTGAAGCTGTTAAATGGAAACATGAAAACATAATGGCTTAAAATAGTATTCCATTCAAGTAAATGGAATCCTTGTTTTGCAATCAATGAAAATGAATCAATCAATGTGGTTAGTGAAGAAAATATGGTGGGTGTTATCTTCCTATTTGTACTGATATTTGTTTTGAACAGCAAGCCACACAGATTCCATTGTACACATCATCCTTCTCACGAAGCAATTGGATTCCATAGGATGAAACTTGATTCTTGGTAATGCTAATCTATCTAAATGATTTATAATGGAAATATCTATGCCCTTTGTGAAGTGATGCTGTAGGAGTCTGGGTAGATTCCAGGAAAAATACCTGGTATTTAAACTGCATTGTTTTTGTGTTTATTCAACTGGTATAACCATGGCATGACTCTTAACCGGGTGAAGTTCAATTTTCTCAACTACAAATCTAAAATGTTCATATCTATCCTTAATAATTTTTCAAGGACTAAGTAAAGGATAGTAGTAAATGTACCACTTTTGATATCTTCACATAGAAGTCACCCCACAGAGTAACTGATCCTAAACACTGCTATCTACTCCCAAATTCTGCAACCTTAAGACTGATGTTTAAGCACAGCTCTTTCATGATAATGAGGCTTCCAACAATACCTCATATATTTATTGTTTCATATTTAGGTCCTTTCCCCAACTCTCTGCAAGAAGTTGAAATAGAGATCATAAGTAATGATGTTTGTAACCAAGTAAATGTATATGGTGGTGCTGTCTCATCAGGAATGATATGTGCTGGGTTCTTGACAGGAAAACTAGATGCCTGTGAGGTAAGTATACTCTAATCCTCAAAACATGGCTCTACTCAATAAGGGTGAAATAATTCATCACAGAGTAATGTCATCTAACACAGTTCTGTGAAATTAGGTTGTGGAAGAAAGAGGAGATGTGAAGAGGGACTGAAGAACAACTAGACATATAGCTCATATAGCTCCTCATGAAACTCCATATTGAACAGAGCTGTCTAAATAAGGTTTCTCAGAACTCTTATTAGAGGTCAGTAATTCAGACAGTAGTAAACAAGTATGAAGCCACAGAATCAAAGCTTAGTCAGGTAAACCTTGGGTATCTCATTCCTATTAACTTCAAGCCATAGTAAGACAAAATCTGTTGATATTTGTGATTAAATAGTTTATGCCCAAATAGAATTACACTGTTGGGAAAAAATAATTACCTGCACTCATTCTTATGAATGCAGTATATCACAGATCATTTTTCAAATCACACAAATAGCATTTTCTCCATACTTACTTACAATACATTAATTTTAAGCACTTAAGCACATTATCGGTTTCAAATATGGCTATTTGAAGAACTAAAAATAACTAACAAGCTAATGATGTGACCTGTAGCATTTGTGACTGGGCACAAGAACTTGGTGATTTCTTGAAGACTTAATATTGGCTCTGATAACTTGGCATGTGTGTCACTTGTTATATGCCTGTATATATGTTGACCTGACATTGGCTGACATAAAATGGTAATAAATATGCATTCATTTATTCATTCAACTTTTTGTGAATCATGAGTTGCTATTGAACATTGCTGAGGGAAACCAAAATTTTTTTTAAATGTAATGATTTTACAATTTTGCTAGGGCACATACTAATATAAAACAAAGGAATAAAGTCAGGGTTTAACTACACATTCTATAATACAAGCTATCTTTCCAATTGCTCCGTGAGAAGAAGAAGCAAGATGTGTATGGAACATACAATCCAATCACATGACTTAGAGAATAAACATGATCTACACAGGAGCTGGCATTCTAGTCTCATGGGCTCATACTCCCTTACTTCCTTTTACCATTAGCACAGTAGGAACACAAGGATTTGATTATAATGGAGGCCTGATCAGAGAGAGTGGGGAGGATGGTCTTCAGCAGATCAGGGTGTTCACGCTGTGCACCAGACACCAGAAGAGAGTAAGAGAAGGATGAATGTGGAAAGGAAGGAGCCTCAAAGTTGCTTCAGGAGCCTCTGCCTCCCTCAGACTATACCATTTCCCTCATTCTAAGATATTTGTAATAAACTATCATGGAGTATTCTTTTTACATTTTTGGAAAGGATAAAGTCATTATTTAAAGGAGAAATTTAAATCTTTTGTTAAAACCTTAGGTAAAAACTGAGATCCTCATGATTTAGGTCTCTAAAGGTGTTTATTGGGAACTTGTCTTTAGCCTTTCAGTAATAAATACTGCATATTTGATAGAACACCCTTCTACTGATTAGCAAGAGTGGAGCAGGTGAAAATTAATTAAAACAAGGCATCACTTCTATCTAATGGAGTTAAACAAGCTTCATCAAGGAGTTAGCATGTTAGTTCCAAGTATGGAATTAATAGATAGCCAGGATCAATTAGCTCTCATTTCTGACAACCTTCTGTTTTTCACATTGATCTCATGCTTTTCCTCTTTTCTAGGGCGATTCTGGAGGGCCCCTGGTTATTTCACATGATAGAAATATCTGGTATCTTCTTGGAATTGTTAGTTGGGGAATCGACTGTGGAAAAGAAAACAAGCCCGGAATTTACACCAGAGTGACTCATTATCGGGACTGGATTAAAACTAAAACAAACATCTAATGCAACAGCCACCTCTTATTCAAACTGGAGTGTCACTCATGGCCTCTGGCAAATTATATCCATTGTTCACTGCCATGAACATGGTCATCTAGTTCAAGATGCAAATGATCATGATATGATGACCTTCTTAAATTAGAAGGGGACAGACTTTCTTTCCCACCAAACATGAATACAAAAGATGCTGTCTGCTCCACAAAAACCTACCATCCCACAACGTGTCTGATTATCTCCCTGGTCACCTCTGTTCTCCCAATTCATATTTTTTCAACTTTCAGTAATTGGGAAGTTGAATAAATACTAACTGAGCAGTCATTCTCTGCTTCTCTCCAGACCCTTCTTTTGCTGCCTCCATTGTTTTTGTCTTCTTCATAGAAAATTTTCACTGGCAATTGATTCATTGACTAGGCAAGCCAAGTTAATTTGTCTAAGTCAATGGTGACAAAATGATGGGGAAAGCACTAGATGTGCGACTAGGACATAGGGGATGGCAATGAACAGGTGCATTCCTTTTCATCCTCAGACATTCATTTAATCTTTCTCTGAAATTTTGTATTTATGCTTGTGCATATTTTGCTTAGGCAATTTAGCTGATAAATATTTTGAAGCAGTGCATGAGTTTTTAATAACATAGGAGGAGAATTATAGAAATTTATTCATACAAAAACATGTACATACTTGGGAATTAAAAGTGAGGTTTTTGACCTCTTCGCTAATGAAATGCAAATGGACAAGAGTCTAATAAGGTTACTCTCAGTTCCCTGTCAAAAATCAGAGATGTGTCAATACTTGTATAAATTTATTTTTCAATTGTACCTTATAGTTTCCTAATTCATTCTATTTAAAGTTTTATTTTCAACCAGATTTAGAACAATTAAATGCCTATGAGACAGGAAGCCAGAATAAATTGATTCCAAGAAAATATAGATACCTGACATGTGAAGCTAAAGTACCAGTAGACATCTATAAAATATTTGATATACAGTGTTAGTAAGGATGTTGTTGCACAATATTAGAATTTATCGTTAAATATCATGTATATTCTACAATAAAATATTTATGTAAAATAACCAGGAAAGCATCTTTGAAATACATTAGTTTCCATGACATAATTGGCATTTTCACATGTACTTAGTTGCACATTTTGTAGTCTCACCTGCAAGTACAGAGTAGTATCAAAGCAAACCCAGAATTACTCTGTGCATCTTGATGTTCTCTCTATAACAATGAGTTGACTGCTATGTTAAGGTTTTCATCAGGGTTTTGTATCGAGTCTTGCCTGACATATCACACCGTACATATTTAACGTTATTTATGATAATAAACCAAGTTTTTTCTCTCTGAGTTGTCCTGAGTGATTGTTCAGCTTTCATGTTGCTGACATTTTGTCACAGATACATCTTTGTTTGGGAAAGGAGGGAAAAAATCATCATGGGCATTGCTGGCCACTTGGCAACATTACTTACTTCTACATAGGAGATGCCTGCAGGACACAGTACACCCATCACCACCCCTCCACAGTTATTCCACCAAGTTGTAACATTAAAAAACAGTTCCTGACAGTTGCAACATGTTCCCAGTGGAGCAAGATCTCCTTCACTTAAGATTGATTGAAAAAGTCACTGCAAATATTCATATACTCAAGGTCTCCTTGCCCACATTTGGAAATATTTTTTAAACCTTACCTTTAAGAATGCCAGTACATTTAAATTCTCCTAGTGTCTGTGAACCCACCACATACACACAATCCTAGCCAAATGCAGAGCTTTCAGAAACTGAACTTGTTTGGAAGAAATTAAAAGATGATCCATTTGCAAACACTCCATAGAAATACAGAAAATGGTAAGGTACTCATGCAGGTACAGTGGGATTATCTTTCAGATTCCTAAGTCATAATTAGCTGTGGCAGGAGTGATTTGGGATCAAATGCATTAGGTGTCACTTGAAATGGAATTTACAAGTTCAACTGAGGCAGATGGTTCAGCCTGTCACCCTCTACCACCACAGAGTAGAGAAACTTACAAAGCATCACTGAGCCCTAAAAGATATCCCATCTAATATGGTAGCCACTAACCGGATTTGAGTTCACTTTTAAAGTTAAAGTTTCATTTCCTCATTTGGACTAATCATGTTGTAAGAAAAAAAAGCCACGTGTGACTAATGGCTACTACTCTGGCCACATAGATACAGAACATGCTTGTCACCACAGAAAAGTCTAATGGATACAACTGAACTCTACTGTCCTAGGAAGCACCTATATGTTCACTTATTCATTATCTAACAAATTTCATGAACCTATGAGTGGAAGTTCCCATAAATAAAAATGTCACAGCTGTGTTAAAGATTCTAAAAGTCTGATTAACTTATTATGGAGTCTATGAGTGCAGAGAGTTGAAATGTCACAGGTCCAATTATCTGAGTTTATCTTTAGACTCCCTAGGAACCATTCATTGCCCACCTCTGTATGTGAACTAACATCCTTGTGACTTATTTTTTTTTTGAGAATATACTAACAGACCACTAGCTTCCATGAACCCAAAAGCTAAGAATGTTATCAGATAGCTTCCGAGGCCTACCTAAGAGTCTTCACTGCTTTGAGCTAACTAGCTACATCATAGCCTCACCAATATATTTAATTTCCTTAATTTGTAACATTCTTTTGCTCTACAACTACAAACATTTAACAAACATGCTACCACATTAGAACATGGCTTTTTAACTTAACTTTAATATATATTCCCAGGACATGGACACTCATATTTAGTCCAGAATACACTGTATCTTATTCCCTGTGAGGTGAGAGTGTATTTTGTGTTAATTACCTCTAAATATTAGGTATGAGAAATTCCAATTGTTATGTATAGAGCTGTGTTCAAAACCAGGTCTCTATGCAAGAGACCTTTTAAGAAGTTAATGGTGTCATGGTTTACTGCCATATAAAGCAATAGACCCTTGAGGGATACATGTTGGCATGCCAGGGATGTATTTAGAACCTTCTTCTGGTAGTTACCTGTACCAAAGAAAAGAAAACTCCTCAAGAGTAGCACACCATACCACAGGCAAGGCTGAAGTATAAAACTACCACTCAGAAATAGAGTTTTTGATCTGCCTTAGAAAAGAAAAAGCAAATAATATTACCAATTAATGTCATATTAAAAATAAAAAGAACTATTCCTTTTTCTTATTTTATTTTATGTTTTTATTAAGCTATACATTTTGCCCCATTCCTCTTCCCTCCTCTACTCTCCTTTTCCAGCCTTCCCACTGCCCGCCAAGCTCCCAATTTACTCAGGAGATCTTGTCTTTTTCCCCTTCCTAGGTAGATCCTCTTAGGGTTCTCTTTATTACCTAAGTTCTCTGGTGTTGTGGATTGTAGGTTGACTGTCCTTTGCCTTATGTCTAAATCCACTTATGGGTGAGCAAATACTACATTAGGAAGAGGTATTTATGGCAAACAGAAGAGTAAGAATTAATGGAGGGACACTGAGGTGATAGGAATGCTATTTAAATAAGCAGTCAACCCAAATAATACAAGAATTGCATCATACAATCTTTCAATATAATTCTATTATATTTAAGTCTAGGAAATGGGAAAACAGCTCACCACTCCCACAGTTGCTTACAGAAAACTGAAGACACATATGCTAAATATGCTACTATAGTGCCATCTTCTGGTCTACCTTATTTTACAAACTACTCTATTTTGACTTCAAGATATAAAACTTTCCCTGTAGAAGATGATACTAAAAAAATACGACATTCTCTCCCCTGTGTTCCCTTAAGCAAATTGAAATGTTGAGTTTTGTGTATACTGTTTCACTATCCTGTTATGTAACAAACTTAAAAATATCTATTCATGTATTTACTTTTTATTTTTAAATGAGATACTTTTATCCCTATGCAGTACCTGTTAATCAAATCCAGGGCTCGGGCATTTGTGTGCCCTGTCCAAATCTTCACTCTAGTCTTCTTGCTTTTATGGCAAGCACTTTAACTGATAAGCCTTCTCCCCAGCTCTGGGACTGCATTACTTTTGGGAGCTTATCTGAGTGGTTCCCACTGGGAGAGCTAGACAGTCAGCAAATGGAAGTGAGCTTCAGTGGTCACTGTGGCCTGTAAGATCTCAATCTTGGAATTCACCCCAAACCTGTTCCTTAAAACTCACCTTGACACAGGCAATGGGCAGGCTCGGCTCTTCCTCAGTCCACTTCCTCAGTCCACAGTGCCAGATAAAATAGCTGAGTCCTCTAGGAAAACATGAAGTCATATTCGAAAATAATCCTTGTGAGAATAATGAATGAGATAGTATAGAGTCTCAGGTATTTAGGAATGTAAAATAAACAAGATATCAATACTTAAATAGATGAGGTAACATGTCACCTTGCTTACCTTGGTTGAGAATGAGAATGCTGTTGACACTGTGACAATCAGATGCATAAGAAGATGGAACTAGCCAACCTAGAAGGGAATAGAAATGAGAAATGATAGCTGGTGATATTGGTAGTCTCACAGTTGCATTAATGCATAAGGAATGTGTTAATGAACAAGAAGTTCAAAATGATGAGCTCCCTAGAAAGGAAGGATAAAATATGTAAGTGAAGTTTAAAATGTTTTTAATATTAAAAATTTTATTTTTAAATTTAAATTCAAATTAGAAACAAGGTTTCTTCACATGTCAATCTCATATGCCTCTCCCTTTCCCTCCCCTCCTCCCATCCCCTCCCACCACCCACCCAATACCCCCTCCTTTCCCCAGGGAGGGTGAGTTCTTCCATGGGGGTGTCCATAGTCTGTTATTTCATCGTGAAGTTTAAAATTTTAAGATATATGAAAGATAGACACAGTAGTAAAGCCTTATTACTAACAGCCTGGGAGGGGCCTGGAGCAGTGGCTTAGCAGTCACCTTTACTCTTGTATCAGTCCCTCTTCTGTTGCTGGGATAAAATATCACGGCATGAAGCAACTTAAGGAGGAAAACTCCATTTCCACCTGTAGTCCTATAAATTCATGTGGGGGACTTGGCAGAGCATGACAGAAACCAGAATCACAGAGTCCACGTTCCACCCTCATACCAGAAGAGAGAGAGACACACAGAGAGACACAGAGAGAGAACAGAAAGTGGGGTTTGACTGTAACATTAAAGCCTAACCAACCCTTGATGTACTTCCTTCAGTGAGGCTGTACCTTCTCCAAGTCCAGTAAACTGCCCGAATAGTGCCACCAGCTAGTGACCATGTGCTCACAACTACTACGAGTCTAGTGTGACATATCTCATTCAAAACTCACAAATGTTAAATTCCATATCTTTTAAATGTCCCCTCGTTAATGAATTGTTCTTTATCTGGTTATGTACTACCTCAGTCAAGCAGGCTCTAAAACCATTGGCAAGAGCAGGAATGTTAATTGACTATTGCAATCCTTTCAATACCTACTCATTCCCTTTCATTGTCTGTCTCAGCGAATGATAACTAAGTTATTGGCTGAACTGTCAGTTGACTATAAGTGTATAAAACTTGAAGGAAGGGGCAGTAGGATGAAAAGGCAGACTAAGGGAAGACCATAAACTGAAGTTTCCGAAAGTCAAAATGCTTTCTGAACAGGCTTTCTGAACAGGCTTTCTGAGGACAAAATGCTCAGCCATCCTCCAGTTGTGGTAGCTTAGTTTTCACCTTCCCCAGCTTTCCCAGCTTGTTTCCCAGGGTCCCGACCTAAGCACAGCAGATGTGCTATGAGGAAACATTCAAACTCGGGCTATCTATTAGACGATTAGCTGCTGTTGGCTTGAGTTTTGATTGCAAACTCTTCCACTTAGGATTTAACTGTTGGTGCCTTTTCAATTTTAATTGACACATATTACTTATACATATTTATGAAGTATAATGTGATGCTTAAATTCAATGTGAATATTGCATAACAATTGATCACAGCAACAATCATGCCACCACCTTACATTTTCTTCATTTGTTTATGATGAACATATTCAAAACCTTCTATTTTATTTTCTATTGTTAACTGTCTTTATTGTGCCATTGACAGCCAGAAATTATGCCTTCATAAATGTACTGTTATATCCACAGGCAAACATCTCCCCATTTCTTTCCCCCCTTCTTTCATCAGCCTGTGGTAACACTTCTATCCTTCAATAGGTGCGCTATAGACTCTACACAGGTGTTCCCATCCCTATACAGTGCAGCCTTCTTGCCTCTCAGTTTTCAGCTGCCTGGGTTATTGTAACTTGCAAGAGTATCTTAGTTACTCTCTTGTTGCTGTGATGAAATACTCTGACAATTTAACTTAAGGAATAAGGTTTAGTTTAGTTCACACTTCAAGGGAGTCCACCCCAG